AACTTGTTAAAGTGGGAAATTTAAAAGGGAATACGCCAATACGAGAACAAATAGTTCTCACCGGTGTAACAGGACACAAAGTTCACACTTTCGATAAGATTCGAACTACAATCCTCGGAAATGAGGAAATAAGACACAGCATGTATGTGGTAAAAGATGAAGAAATTCTCGGTATAGATTTCTAAAAAAATATCGAACAAAATGCGATCATGCAAAGGAAATATTGCGAATAGGTAGCCTAAATCTAAAATTGCATCCTCACCAGAAATATATTCTAACGCCTCGCAGTGAAATCATTGTGTAAGCTATTACTAATCAAAATCAGATTGGAATAATGAAATCTGAATAAACGGAACCAGGAATATTTATTGATAGTTGCCTGGTAGAATCCGATGATTATATCTGCCCAATAAGTATAATTAATACAACTACCGAAATTATTGAAATTACAACGTCGAGTGTAACATTAGACGCCGTGCAGCTGGGTGACGCCGCGGAGATGCTCACATTACACGAGAACGACGGCCGTACTGCACAGTCACGGCAGGAATGCTTACAAATATTGCTACGAACAGAACATCTAAATCACGAAGAAAAGAAGGAATTAACGTAGATATGCTCTGACTTCTGCGACATATTTCACGTAGAGAACGATCCACTGACTTACACTACGACAATAACACATGAAATAAATACACGTAGCGATAGCGCGCCTGTAAATGTGCGACCTTATAGATTGCCGGAGAAACATAAAGCAGAAGTAAATCGGCAGGTTGAAAAGATGTTAGATGATGGAATAATACGTGACAGTACGAGTCAATGGAATGCGCCATTGCTAGCAATACTCAAAAAGATGGATGTATCTGGGAAACAAAAACTACGCATCGTACTGGATTTTCGAAAATTAACGATCTAACAATCGGAGATTCTTTTCCACTATTAAATATAACAGACATCCTATATCAGCTGGGAAATGCAAAATATTTTTCAACGTTAGACCTCGCATCCGGATATCATCAAATTCCTATGAACGAAGAAACATAAAAATAAAACGTCTTTTTCTACACTGTATAGACACTAATTTAATAGAATGCCGTTCGGACTTAAAAACGCATCCGCAACATGCCAACGGCTAATAAACTCGATGTTAACCGGAATTCAAGGACTTAGATGTCTAGTTTATCTTGACAATATAGTAATATATGCGACATTGAACGAACACAATAAAGGACTAACTGAAATAATGCAACGACTGAGAGACCATAATCTCAAGTTGCAGCCGGATAAATGCGAGTTTCTCAGAAAAGAGATTACTTATCTAGGACATATGTCGCGAGCGCCGAGAACGCAATCACGCTCACCGCTGACAAAGCGGATTGCGGCAAGCGATACTTTATCCGACGAATTATTATTTTACCAAGCGATAGCGATTACCAACGCTACCGTGCTAATCGCGCAAATATTGTGTAATCGTTCCACGTGAAGCAACTGTTAACCGGGTTGCGCAGCCCTTACGCGGAAAACCGCCGCGCGACCCAGAAATATACCGCGAACGCTGACGAACATGTTGATGACACGGCAAGGATCGGCCGCCTGGAACAGGATATAAACGGAAGACCGATATGAGGACAGGACTCGTCGAGATCCGCGTGCCGTCACGTCTGTCGCGGTTCGAATTAAAAAGGACAAACTGTATCAAGTGTTAATAAAATTTATTGAAATTAAAACGAAGTGGTGAGTGCTTCCTCCCCGCCGATTCCTTGACCGATCCACCGAAA